TCCAGTTCATTATATTCACATCTTCTAAAATTCGGCTTACTTTTGACACCTATTTAAAAAATGATGTAGATAATAGGGATTATTACATTCATCATTTAGCAACATGTCTTATATTTATAAACAACATGTGACTTTTTAGGAAATTATCAAGCTTTTATTGATATTTCAAAAGTTTGCTATTGAAGAATGTAAACTTGCTTAAAATTTCAAATAATTCATAAAATTTCAAAAATAATTTTTCTAGGTTTTTTTTAAATAGAAATTCAATTTATGATTTTTTTCATATTAAAATATGATTTTTGTCCTTGAATAAAAGAAATAACTATTTTAAAGGAATAAGTATTTATAATATTTGTAAATGATCTGCAATGAACAACCAAATCTGAAACAAGGCTGCCAAACAATTTGATTAATGAAAGAATAAGAAAATGGACTGACATTTCTCTAGCTGTCCTCTTACATCTAAATCTAAGAAAGAAATCAAAATACCTGCTGAAGTAAAATTTAGATACTTTTAATTTTTATTTGTATTTGGCAAATGATAACATGACTTATAGCGACTATGCAACGATATGGATATCAACAAAGCATATCAACGTGAATTATTGCTATCTCAGAGCTATTGCTATCTCAACGTGAATTATCATCTCGAGTTACGAAATTTGTTGTTATCAATGATGACAATATCTAATGCCAGATGCATCTCTTACTGTTTTTTTGGTCTTTCAAAAAGTCATCTGTTCATTTTGTTTGTATATAAATAGAATCGATAGAAATGATATATTTGATCAAGCTGAAATCATTAAGAAAGAATACATTTCATCGGTCTCGAATTATTTTTCAGTGATATCAAAATTTGAAACAAACAACTTTTATGACAAATCACAAAAAAATTGAAGGAAAGCATTTTTGTAAGTGAAGTGAATGAAGCAACTGCAGTTTTAGTCCTACTAGTTCTGTTTCTATAACTAATCTAATGCTACTCGAATAGTATAAATAAGTAATTTGATTTCTAATGTTCCTATATAGCCAAGGCAAGAGGTTCAATTAATGTATATTCTTATTATTCTTATATACAGCCGATTTGCACATTCAATTCAAGCATAATGTGAATGTAATACTTCAAGTTTATTCTGTTAGCATCCTTCATGCAAAATTTGAAACATTTATAATCTATCATTCTTGTTTAAAAAAAGTAAAAAAACTAACATAAGAAAAAATTTTGTAACACTTCACCTTTATTACTTGATAAACTCATTATTGCTTTATATGTTGAAAATATTTCGCTCGTCGGATAACCACAGTTTGCGTGATGAATTACCGGGATTTTACAGTTAGCATACTATTCAGGCCACAAGCTGATAAGCATTATATGTATATATACATATAATATATATACGATTTTCAAAAACTTAATGTATTTAGTTAATTCTCATTTACTTATATCAGTAGAGAGAATACATAATCAAAAATTTGAAATATTAGCGCAGCTTGGTCTTCGAAAAACCGGAAGAAAAATTTAGTACGCACTAAGTGTTTAGAATAATGCTAATGATTCATCACTATAAACTAATTCCTTATTCCTTTGTTACATCCCATTTTTTTGAAACAATGAATTCTTTATTTAAACCCCAAATAGTAAATGTACATCTATCTTCATTGTTCTTCATTGTAAATATTAATCTGCTAAGCCAACTCACTTCCTACATCCTTAAAAATCTCTTATCAGTTAATATGAAAGGATCGATGGCAGTTTTCTTTTCCTCTACCTAACATTACCATTTATTCCTTCGTTGTTTCAATTATTCGATTATATATTATGTCGATTCATATTTTGAAAGAAAATAAACGGTATCTGAGTCAATCTTAGTCGCAGACAAGAAGCAAAGGGTTCAATTGAAATTCTACAAAAGTAAATCCAGTGAGTTTAACTAACCCAAATCATTAAAATCTTCGGATCAAAACGATATTTCAAATTCACGGTATAGTCACAGTAATGCTCTCTTTATGAACTAATATGCTATTTGGAGAATGTTAGAAGCTATTATCTTTAGTGTAAGTATGAAGAGATAGAAAATTTTTTCATGCTTATTTAAATTCATTTATGATGTAAGAAGCGTCTTAGTTTACCTCTTTTGGCTACATTGCACTAATTAAGACTTCGCCCATCTCCATAAGTAATACTATATCATTGTTGTTATAGATAAAGTTTGCAAGCGCTTTTCTATTCAGCAAGTTTCTTGGTTATTTTAATCTATTTTTGCACTGTATCCTCGATTCCTCGATTTTATTCATTTTCATTCAACAACAGCAGTTTTTCTGGTGATCAAAAAATATTCTTTAATAAATGGAGCACTTTCAAGAAAAGACAACATCGCTCTACGCGTATCTGGGATTAAAGGATGAATACTTTTGATCCTTGCAGCATTTCGAATGAATTTGTTGAAAAATCTAGTTGCAATTATTTCTTCTAAAAGATTTGTTATTTACACGCTAACTTCAGTCTATGAAAATTCAAAGAAGCTTGAAATTTGTTAGCTCAGACACATATAAACATTAAAGCAAACAAGCTTCCATTAAAAAACCTTTCATAAATTCCATTAATTTTTTTGGAGTAAATAGCAATAGAGAAAGGAGCAGATTAATCATCAGATAATAGAAGGACCATTTTGAAAATTTCAATTGATTTTTAAATATGCATTTCAGTTAAAGTAAGTTTAATTTCACCTAAAGCAGAAGCAATTCAACATCAAAATCTATATCGTTAGCATTGTAGACTTGATTAGTTGGTTGGAAGAGAATTGATCTATTTTTTGTAATCTTATTTTCTTTGCTAATTAAGAGAACTAATTTGTAATTTTTCCACATTATTTGATCGGTTTTGCGATGCTATCCCAGTAAAGTAAAAAAAGATCTATATAAATTCATTGATTTATATGTATATATAATTGAGAAACGAATGTTTCGAAAATGAGGTTCGCAAAAGGTGGAATTAATGTTGCATTTAGAGATTAATGTTCAATAAGTCCGGTTACTGATTTTTTCTTGAAATTCTATGTGATCAGGAGTTATTAAATAAATCCAATTTAATATAGTGAATTCCTTCAGCGCTTGTAGAGATAGAAGTATTGAAAAGCATAAAATCAATTTCTTGTTATCTAAAACTTCAAACATTTCCTCGATGAAAATTTATGCCAGAGGGTCATCCTCACTTTACCCTGACAATCCTGATCGTTCTTGAAAATTCACAATATGGTGTTCTAAGTAACACACACAATACACGCAGCAAGTGCACAAGGGAAATAAATCAGAAGAGATAGTTAATTCAGTGAATCGAAAAAACCTAAAAGTGTATTACATGAGTATTATTAGAAGAAATGGGAAATACAAAAAATAGACTGGTCTTAGAATATTTAAAAGTTGTAGGTGAAAAAATAGAAGCGTTATGTTGCTAAATTCTGAAGTTTTTGATGTATCTTCACATAATCTTTTCGTTTGTATTCAGTGAAAAAAAGAAATCAAAGAGAAATCTCGAAAAGGTGGAGGAAATGATTTGCAATTTTCTGAAGTAACCGGACTAATGGGAGGTGTGGAATGGAAAAAGAAGGGATAACTGCCTGAAGGGAAGCGGACTGCACTATTGTTGTGGAGTATGTTGCTCGAAAAATCTCCAAAAATGTACTTTGCTATGTGCAACCTGGCACCGAAATCGAAATTGGACAGAAGAAAAGAGAAAGGGTGGAACGATGGATTCGGGAGTAGAATAGGGATAGAGGACGGGGATTGAAATCTCGCAACTTCTCTAGTCATTCTCCTTCCAGAAGTTGCTCTTCGTTGTGTCGAATATAGCAAAGTAACTTTTACTCCACTTTCTTCTTTTATCTCTCCAAACATTTCTAAGCAAATCTCAAATGTCCTCTACATATTATTCTAATAAGTTTGTTTCATGTTCTTTCAGGAGATCTAACTCCTTCCTATAACGAAACCAGCTTAGCGCAACAAATTAACATATAGCAGAAATAAAATCCAGCTAATGCTATAGCTAATGTATAGCTAGACATGTATGAAACGAAAACCAAAAATAACTCACAAGTTTCCCAGTGAGTTAGCAATTCTGATTTTTTGTACTGAGCTTCGAAGTGAGCCTAGCAGTTTGCCCATTTAAGCAACCAAGCAACTAATTGTTATGCAGCTTCACAAACAATCGTGTACAAATATTGCTGCAAGAAAACTATGAGTAAAACCTGATATTATTGTTACAAACGGGCAGAGTTATCGGAGTTGTCGATTCAGATTTAATATTTATAGCTATCTGCACGATACCTTTCTTTGACACCATTCTTCTCTTTTTTGAACACTTCATAAATCCTTTCACCATATTCTTTTCTTATTCCAGCAATTTTATTTCTATCACCGGTTTATTTCTTTTTTTCTTCTTTGGTTTCTGATTTTCTCATCCATTTTTTTTTATATTCTTAAAATTTCAGATATTTCCTTAACTTTTTGTCAACACATTTTAGGATTGTTTTTTTTAAGACATAAAATAGAGTGAGGAGAAAATAAACAATACCCTTTGAAAAAAGACTTCAAAGATTCTTCGAAAACTTATTGTCCTATGCAGGCTTTGAGCTCTCTCAATTCGTGAGATTTCGTCATCATCTTATCCTCTACACTATTCTAGTAATCTATCAAGGAGTATCATTCAAAACTATGTAATTAGCAATCAGTTACGAGTTTAAAAGTTAATTTCGCTACTGTTCGTTATTCAATTATAATTTCACATAATTTATTAGTGAAACGCAACTATAAATGACAGTAAGAGTGATAATAATGATAATAATAATAGTAATGACAATAATAATAATAATAATAATAATAGCAATAGCAATAATAATAAATAATAATATCAAATAATATGAATAATAACAGTGATAATAAATAATAATAATAAATAATTTTTTCACATTCTCTAAATACAAAATGGAATATAAGAGATAACATTAATCCATATCATTCCATATTGTATCACTTGAATTTTCAAACACTTGAAATGAATTTTGGTTTGATTTCGCTCCATACCGAAAAATTCGTCGACATTTGAGGGACTGTAGTCGAATTGAATCAATTCGTGATAAAGGGGAAACGGTTAAAAGCAAACCACTACGACGCAAACGTTCATGCATAGCTCGATAATTTGCATTTGGTGACTATAAATTTAAATAAAATTTCATTTAGATATCCTTAAGTATCTTCATTTTAACTTAACTAAAATAGAAAAAAAAAAATATACTTGGTTAGCTTACAAATATTCTTAAATCAGAACTGTAAAGCAATAAGTAACCTATTCATTCTTCGTATAAAGAACCTTCTCACCTACTGTTTTAACAAATACAGAAAGTCAGAAAGTCTCACTTCTTCATTATATTCCTGCTTGAACCGCTTATAATGTTCATAAACGATAATTGACATACACATTATCTTCAATTCCGACAAATTCATTTCGTGTGCAAATACCAGGAAATGAACAGTCTTATCCAAGATTAAAGAATTCTAAAACTATCGTGAAAAGCAATGCTTATGATTGCAACTGATATTTAGCTATAAAAACTTAGCTTTTGAATAACTAACATATTCAGACCATGAGAATTCATTAAAGCAATTAATTTTCATACATCATTTTCAACATTTCATAACATTTGCTAAAAGAAAAAAAATAAAAATCTCACTTTCAATAATAGTTTACAAAGGGCACGATGAATAGTATTTCTTAGGGCATCACGATTCAAGGGTTTGAAATGCATTGCTATGTCAATTAGCTCTCTAGCCAATTCCGGTGTCAAATTGTCTGGCATTTCAAATGTGCCCGTAATCATAAATACCAACACCTTAAAATGGAACATTTTTTTTCATGATATCCATTATACAAACATTTTTAGATGGAGACAATTTTTAATATGACATTATCTCTTTTAATGAGGCAATAACTTTTAATTTTAGTTTTTTATAGCAAAGTCGCTAAATGTTAAAAATACCTTGCGAACAGATTCCAGATTGTAATCGGGTACTGACTGTTCTTTGGCCATTAATCCTTCATCATTTGCAGTGAACAGAAAGCGAAAGTAATCAGAGCTTAGGAATAATGCACTTTTCGATATTTTGAGATCACCATCCCGACAATGTATGGTAAAATCGCTAAAAAGAGGTATATACTCATTAAAATATGATTCTGAAAACAACTTTTAATTTTCACTTTACCATATTTTTTTGAATAAGAGGCATCATAATTTTAGGCGTTAATTTTACATTCATTATCGATCCTATTTAAGCATCTACATAGCCAATAAATTAATTATTGCGTCCATTAATCATACTTTCTTATCAATACTAAAGGGAAAACGAAAACATCTTACGCGCTCTCATCGTTGAGAACTTTGAAGCGAAAATCGTTGGTAGTGTCGGCAGGTGGTGCTGGAACCATATTCATCCAATTACTAAAGCCCAAATTAAAAGACTCTGTACTGAAGAGAAGATCAACTGTAATTAAAATTGTTTTCCCTGAAATAATCACACTAATATAGATGGAGATTAAAATAAGGAAAATTATTTCTCGGAGAAATTTCCAAAAAATGGTCCAGAGAACTCGTTAGTATAGGTATAAAAAAAAGCTAAACAATTGTGAGTTCCATACATTCCTGGCTTATTTCGTGTGAACTAGTTCATAAAAAGATTTTTATTGAATACCGCTATTAGATTGATTCGTAAAACACTGTGTCAACAAATCGACAAACTGTGAATCTCTAGGCACTCGAAAGCTATCCATTGATGAAAATGTTGTCACAGAACGTATAGCAATTACAGTTCCTACAGGAAAATGAAAGAAAATATAATGAAGCAATTGGCAAAATCAAATTTCAAATATTTTTTATGGTGTTCGGTTGTCCTCAGAAACCTACACTTTTATTTCAAATCTGAATTTGCAATTAATAAGAACATCTGAAGATAAAGTAGCTGCTTATATAATCCACATGAATTCGTAAATATAGAAACCACTGGTCTTTAATTCAATAGAACTACTTTATTCCTATTTTAATTAAAATAAAATAAAGCAAAAATATAAAGATGGAAAAGAATGTAAAAGTCCACGCATAAATCTCGAAAATTCAATATGCTGTGGAACAAACCGTGGTAATTAGCATCCTCCAGGAGTCTAAACGAAAACTTGCATTCCTTAGGAGACGGATGTGTTGTTACCACCCTACTTTGCTCCAAATATAAGTGTATCCTAGGTCTCGATGGTATACCAAAGTTGGTTCTGTACAAATGTACCATCCTGGAAAGAACTCCATACTTTGTAAGATACCACAAGTAAGATCATGAAGAGTTACTCCGAAAATAGAGGTACAACAAAATTGCCAAAATGAAACTTCCAACAGCATTTGCAAGTAGCAACTTCGCTGTAATTATTTACAAAATACGAAGTTTTATACCACTCATGATTAGCAGTGCGATAATTGGTGCAGAACGTTTCAGTATCACCAAAAACATTGAAGCCATTAACTGGATGAAAAATCTGCACTGGCCAATCATAAATAAATGTTATTTCTGTCGGGTCCTCATTATAAACTTTCACAAGAGATTTCATTTCGCAGAACAGACCCACTCAACCAGCCTAAAAATGTGAGCTAAACTACAAGACACGTATTGCCTGTCTGTTTAATACTTTAAACGCAATCTTCATTTTCTGCATTTATTCAAATTTGAGAAGTATGAAACTTCTGCAATATTCAAGTCAAGCAGATGTATCAAGCATCAGTCGCTGATAAAATCCTTATATTCTTTTTTGAATCTGGTAGCACTAAAAGATACATGACAAAAATGTAAAATATAGCCCAGTTCAAGAAATTCCAACTTTTGCCTGAAAATCGATCGCTTCCTTCTAACGGAAAATCCCATATGCCTAAATACAATGAGTGGTATACAAGCATATTTGCTATCACGAACTATTTTTCGACCTTCGCCAAGAAAACTAAGAGTGGCATTTAGGCTTTTCAAGCCAAAGAAATAAATATAGAAAGAGAAATTTTGTTTAGCACTGAAACAAGTACGTCCAAGTAATTTTTTGCTATTCCAAAATGCAAAGAATTTTAATTTTCTCACATATCTCCAGGAAGACAGTCTTCTCAGCTGTAAAATTTAAAACTTCAGTGTGATTTATATGTCAGTTAATAAAATCTGAATTAATGCATCAATCATCAACCTTTAGCAACTTTAATTCCGATAGACAGAAAGCACACTAAACCCTGAGTTGCTTAATTTTTATAGTCTGGCTTGAATCAAGCAATGTGAACCAAGAAAAATTGAAACTTTTCTGCATTTATTAGAGCCTAAGAGAAAGTAAAAAAATTGAATCAGTGAAAAGATGCATAAGTGTCAAAGCAGAATGTGAAACAATCTCTAAACATGATAAAGGACTAAAGAATAGGTGAGCAAATTAAAACTTTGTTTATTCAAAACGGTTCTCTTAATAATTATTTCTATGACAAAGTTGTAAGGCGACATGAAAGAGATTCATACAGCCATATACTTTGATTGCTAACATCGGTTGGTAACTTTCAAGAATAACTGACTTGTAAATGAAATTATGTATTGTTTTAATGTTTCCAACGAAGCGGACAGTAAGAAACTGTCGCGGCTGATATTTGAGCTATAAAAAATGCTACTGAAAATTTTAATCCAAATGAGATACACATGAAAAAAAAGTCATAATCAATCTGTTCTTTTACACACACATGAGCTGACATAAGTGCCCAGGCTGAATAAAAAATTCGTTAAAAATTTCGAAATCTTTTAGATCAGTCCGAAAGAAAACAACAAAAGATCGTACCTTAAGACCACAAACATATGCCATCATATGCGTCAGGAATTCATAGCGAGCTAAATTAAATTAAAAGGTAATCCCAAACTTATAAATAAAAACTCAAAATCAAAAGCTTAGTGAACGACTGAAGAAACCAAAAAAAGAAAAATTATAAACTAGCATCAAAACTAAACTATGTCTCCAGAAGTTGATATAATTGACACGAAAGCTCATCACTGCGAACCACGAATTAAGCAAGTATATGACAAGGTGGCAAAGCCATCAGTTTTAAATCTAAAGCCGGTTAGATAAACTTTGAATCCAAAGCATGTTTTGCATTAAAAAAATTGTAAATGAATTTTTAAAGGAAAAAAATAAATCAAATAACATTCCATGCATTGAGTATACAACGATTATGCGGTTCATTTTTCATCAGATCAATGATTTCGGATAATTGGTCTATGCCTTGGTTGATGTAATCAGCATCCATGCCTCGATACTCAGCAAGCACAGTGTTGCCCTATAAATTACATTATTGCCTCAACATTGCTAAAAACTATCAAAAATGATAATAAAATAAGTGATAAAATAAATTCAAAGGACAGTGCAGTGAAAGCATAGCGAATGCCATCTATGAACAATAAATATTAATTTGATTGGCACAGAAACCAAGTTTCACCTGAAAGCCATAAACAGGTCTTAAATCTCCTTCAGATCGATCACTGAAATCACACTCATCTAGAAACTGCATTGGCATCCCAAATCTTTTTCAGACAAATGTTTTGCATTTGTCGAATGAACCAAAGCAGTTCTTCAACAAAGCTTTTCCGGTAGACTCGTTTGGTTGTCAATACCGGAACAACACCTATAAAATCTCTACACGAATTAATATTTCAACAAACAAGGTCCCATTAGAAAACAAATGATGGGGCGAAGAAACCTTACAAAATCTTATACAAATCTTTTCATAGCAATGATATACTTGGTCTTAGTATAAAAAAATTTCTTATCATTTCGAAGCGAATAAACAGAATGCATTCCAAACACTGGGATTGTCCACTGAGATCATCGATTCTTTCGCCATTCATCAAAATGTGTCTAACCTGATCCAAATATTTATTTTCATCCTCATTCTCTAATACCGGCATCGCCCATAACATTACCGTGAGCTCCTGAAGACTTCATTTCTGAACCTTAAACCAACGACAACTACCAGGTGAACCCGAAACAACTGAAAGATTTAAAATGTAGCGCTAAAACATTTGATACAGCCATTCCTGCCGCGACATGTAGCCGTTTTGTCTCATTGACAAGATTTTCATTTCCATCAGATGAAAAACTCACCTTAAAAGTAAGGATAAGGAAGAGAATGAGACAAGATGTTTACCTTAATAGCTATATTCGATAGAGGAGAAAAGGAGAACTTCTCAGCTGACAACTTTGGACATCTCTCATTCATAATATGGTTGGTAATCGACTACAAAGAAAAGGAACTGCATATGAAGCAAGTAGTATAAAAATAAATTTATCCATTCATTTTTCAATGAAATAATGGGCTTTAGCTATAATACTAGCCTGCAATACTCTCATCGGTCTGAAATTTATTTTTGAGACAGTTATATTGCTAATACTCCAAGGATCGATGACATAAAAAAACTTTGATGAAAGGATGAAAAATATCAACTGAATAGCTCTAAAATTCTATCACTCCATAGTTACTTGTTTCCTTAAATGTGCCAAGAACAAGTTTTTGATCCTTAACCATCCTTAATGATTAAATCCCCGTATTCATCTTTCAAGGACAGACATTTTTAGCTTTTGTGATTAATATACAATAAATAACTCATTTCGAAACGAAGATTTTGCTCAAAGAAACTTTTCTGCTTATCAGTATGGAGTGAAAATTGAGGAGCTTTCATTTTCTTAATCCAAATTGTTATCAGTTTGGTGGATCTGCACAGTGAGAATTGTGTTGTTAGCAAATTGGCTGTTTTTGAAAATTAATATCATTTATTTCAGCAGTAAGTTTAATTTAAGATTGAATGCTGTTGAGATTGGTAGTGGATTATAACTTTCATCGTATCTATATATCAATCAAAGGGCATTTCAGTAACTGAAATAAAAATAAAATGAATTCCAGGAAAAGATACCATTAGAACCAAATAGGTAGAGGAATAACAACTTCCAATAAAAACTCCCAATAAAAAAAGTTTTTATAGATTTAGAATTTTTCATTCATTGTGAAATTCCTCTTTGCGAAGAGCTGCTTGGGAGAAAAGTTCAAATGAGAGAAATAGTTCACAATATTCATTATTATTATCTTGATTTTGTCGGTATAATGTTTACTTTTATGTTTCTTATTTTTTTTTGAGAGTTCAAAATCAAGTAAAATGTTAAATGCACACTTATTGTATTCTTCGATGAAGAAGACACTGCCGCCGGCTTTCCACGGTTTTTTTGATCATCAAAAAAATTTTACGTGAAGACAATGGAAGATTCCTTTATTAGAAAGCAACTACTTTTTCCACTCCTGAAAATGCAAAATCCATCGGACTGGTTAGAATTTTCACCATTTCGAGTTTCCTCGTCCTTTGAAAACGTTTATGACAGTGTTTTTGATATAAATTGGATCTGAACCTTGCTTCACATTTAATTGAACTGCATTTTAAAAATATTAGGAATAGAAATTACAGACGAGTACCAAAATGTCTGGATGCAAAAGATGGTATTGTAAAAGCAGTGATGATGATGATGTCGTGGAAAGTTGTCGTCAGATACTCGAATATTTGTGATACAGCAGTGAGATTAATCTTTGTTTTTATGAAAACGTATTATTAGTAATCTGAGCAGTAGAAATAGACTTTGTAAAATCGGAGGAAATTTAGTTTCGTTATGAGGGCTTATAGTCGACAACAATTTTTTGTTTATCAGGATTGAATCTATATGAGTGAGGATTGGGCGTGTCGAAGATGAAATCACATATGGGAGGAATTGGAAGTGTTCGCATTATGATCATATAAAGAAGAGATTATGATGAGAGCTAATTTCACATAAAATTACATGAGTAGTAAATCTTAAGAAGCCAAATATATGGAGAGATGGTTTATGATACAGTAAGACTGTTTACAATTTAAAAATGTTAATTAGTTTTATTAGTTTTTCTTTAAATTCGCGACAGTTGTATTCGTCGGGTATCACGCATACATGAATGCGAATCGCGTTTGTATATATCTAAATACCATACATCCATGGATTGTTATTTATCGTTGCATTCGTCTGATATTATAATTCCATGAATTGTGAATCACAGTTGTATATGTCCGAGTATTATACATTCATGAATTGTGAATTACGTTTGTATATATCTGAATACCATACATCATGGATTGTTAATCACAGTTGTATTCGTCTAAGTATCATGCATCTATGAATTGTGGATCACGGTCGTATATTGTAATTGATTAAAGAAAACCCTGAATTTATAGTTTGGGCTTTCTCTAAAAAGATAAACTTTGAAGAAATGGTCAACTCCAATAATTAAGTCAAGTTATTTCCAACTGCTAATTTCCACTGTTAATGGAAGCTGAGTCGAAATATCTGATGCATTGTCTTGGCTACAGATATTACCCTTATTTTATTTGTTGGATAGTCGACTATTGTGGCTACAACAGGTATAATATCTTCTTCTATCGTTTTTATTCCAATTCACACTTTGGCAAAAAACGATGTTTGAGAATTTCTATTGCCGAATCTCGCGAATGTCACTTGTTCATAATTAATATCTTCTAAACGTAATCTTTTTGCTAGTTTCTTCGATACACATTGCTTTGAGCACCACTACCAAATAAAACTATAATTTTATTTGAAACCTCTGGCATATCTAAATTAATTTCTTCAACTTCTTTGCTAAAAAGCAAGACTTCTCTGTCTTTTCCTTTCGAATGCTTTATTATTGAATTAATTCCTTTGTCGTCTTTCGATCTTCTTCGATTGGCTCTACTGATTGTGCTTGATCGTTATGCTTAGTGCAGCATAATGTAGTATTATGGTGACCTTTGCAATAAAAACATACATGCTTTCTTGTTTTGCAATTGATTGTCGTATGTCCTGGTTGAAGACAATTTAGACAAGCGTTGTTTTCTTTCAGTCGTTGTATTCTTCGTTCTAGATTAGGATAAATTTGACATTCATTATCTCAGTGGTTCCTATTGCAAAAAGCATATGGTCTTTGAGTTTTGCTAATCTTTTTCTATGAATTTGCGGTGTTATTAACAGTTAGAGCCAAAGTTTATTCTGTAAAATATCGATGATTAGTTCGTGGACCAATTTTATTTTTAGATTCTCTTTGCCAAAGAATTGGCTTCTTATAACTTCTCCGTTTCTTTGGATCAGTTTTGCTAAGAATTGTCTTAGCTTAGCTACTGACCATATTTTTTGTTCCTTTTGTTGATACACTCTGTTCAAAATACAGACAGGCAGTTTATTTTCAATGATAATTTTAATACTGGATTGTTCGAGATTTTCACCCATTGCTTCAAGTTGTCGAAGTACTCTTTCAGTAGCTTCAACTGTTATCTTCCATTGTCGATCATTCTTCTTGACGGAATATAACTCATTGTAGAGCGACTTTTTAATGATATGTGATTGCCCAAATTTTTCAATAAGGACTTTTCGTATCACATCGTAATTTTCTGAGGTTATATCATAACCTCTAACAGCCAATAAGGCATCTCCCTTTAGACATACAATTAAATAATTTAATTTTTGGATGTTTGGTATTTTTTGTAAATGGACTGCAGCTTCAAAGCTGCTCCACAATCCTCTCCACTCATTTTAGGATTACCACTGAAGGTAGGCAGTGGTAGTTGAGGCAAGTTAACAGTTGGGTAAGGCTCATTATATAAATCGTGCTCATTTCTTTAAATTTAAAATTTTATAATTTTGAATACATATATTTATGATTTTTGAATACTTTTTTATAATTTTGAATATATATATATATATTTATTTATTTATTTCCAATTTTTGGGAAAAGAAAAAATATATAAGCAATGTGCGAAAAATGAAATGTTTTGTGAACTTTGAATTTTAATGATTGCCATTTAATTATTGTTTTTTTTTTCGATTTTTCCATTTACCATCCTCTCGTTTGTTTGTGTACTTATCTATTTTTTTCTTCCTTTTTTTCTTTATTTATTTGCTCATATGCTTGTATGCCTTTTCTATTATTTGTATTTACCAATTAATTCTTTTTTCTTTTATTTTGTTTCTTTCATTTATTTGATAATAAAAAATCATTTATTTCTTATGATTCAATCTATTTATTATCATTATTTCTTTCTTCCTTTATTTGTATTTTAAAGACAAGTTTAATGACAATTTAGCGAAAATACTTCCCAAATTTATTCAAATACTATTTATTAATATTTTATTTATTATGTACTACTTCATAATGCTTAAAATTTATTCTGATAAAATGCTGTCACGAATCTTTCCGTATATTTTGATGTATCCGATTTGATAACACCATTTTTTTCTTTCTTTATTGGGAATGCAATCTTGTGGGTTAAATTATTTCACAAATTATAACAATGACGATTTTCTTCTATTCACGAAATTACATTTTATAAATTTTCTAAAATTTATGTTTAAGAAAATTTCAATTTTCATCACATTATAATATTTTAGTGATAATTTATTGGAAGTAATTCTAAATTAAATTTCTCAGCTTTTATTTTTCTTTTTTTCTTCTTGTGTTTTACGGATTTGAAAAATAGAAGAAAAAATTAAACGAAGATTGATTATCTAAAATTTCTGAGTACAATTTTGATTTTAAATTTAGGAAAAAATAAAGTAAGAATTAGTTATCCTCTCCATATCTAGTTGATGAAATGCGTAAATGTCACTAATGCCACTGCCGCTTTTCTTATTTAGCTTACAAATTATCAATTCTTTCATTCGAACATGCTATTTGTTGTTCTGCTTTTTGTTGAATGATAAAATATAATTAACGATTTATTAATTTTTTTTCTTCTTGGTAACAAAAAATCTAAAAAGAAAAGTTTACTTTATTCAGCTAAATTTTTTTACACTCTGTCCAGAAACCAGGCAAGCAGTTTATTTTCAGTAGTAATTCCAGTACTGGATTGTTCGAGATTTTCATCCATTGCTTCAAGTTGTCGAAGTATTCTTTCAGTAGCTTCAACTGTTATCTTCCATTGTCGATCATTCTTCTTGACGGAATATGACTCATTGTAGAGCGACTTTTTAATGATATGTGATTGCCCAAATTTTTCAATAAGGACTTTTCGTATCACATCGTAATTTTCTGAGGTTATATCATAACCTCTAACAGCCAATAAGGCACCTCCCTTTAGACATGCAATTAAATAATTTAATTTTTGGATGTTTGGTATTTTTTGTAAATGGACTGCAGCTTCAAAGCTGCTCCACAATCCTCTCCACTCATTTTAGGATTACCACTGAAGGTAGGCAGTGGTAGTTGAGGTAAGTTAACAGTTGGGTAAGGGGCTATTTGACTGGATTACTAACTCTGAGTCATTCATATACATACTTAAGGTTATGATGATTTCTTTGCCTTTACTTATTAAGTTCAAAATACCTCTTTTATCTTCGAACATTTTGACGTATTTGTCTTCCTCTTGTTTTCTATTCGTTGTTGGAAACCTGTATGTATTGGATCCAGTTAGTCTCAAATGTGTCAATATGCAACTTGAGACGCATTATTTTTTTTTTCAATGAATCTTGTTGACAGGTTAACATTTGCTCGGTTAACATTTGCTCCAAAAGCGTAAGATCCATTTCTTGGACTTCTTTGAGAAAAGCTTCCAATTTTTCTTCTGCCAGTCGTGCGCTTAGTACTACAGTTGCAGACATTTCTGGTTCGTGACACCAAAAATTTTGTCGTGGAAGATTTCACTGTTTAATTATTAATTTTGGGAGAGGTTTTTGATCGCAGGGAGGTTGATTAAATGTAGGTGTAAATGCATGGAGTAACAGAGAAATAAACCAATTTCTTTATTAGCAGAAGTAATAAGACAATAAGTTGATAGAGAACAATTGAAATTGAAATCGTCTGGTTCTTGGCAACAAATTGCACATATATTAAAATCTTTTAACAAGGGTGACCCTTATATAGCAATTATATCTTACATTACATATATTAAGATGTAGGAGTGGTTTATAATTAGACAATTTTGTACAAAAGATAAATTGTCTAGACATGACATTAAGTTAACTACAATGGATATTACAATGAATTGAAAGGATATAACAAAAGAAAGTACAGTGGGTTTTCTAGACATTATGATAAGTGGCTACTATAATGAGTTGCAATAGACATACATGATCGATGCTTATAATATATGAAATGATATTAGATCAAAAGTCATTACGATGAATTGTAAAAGGCATCAATGGATTACTATATTAAGCATTGTTAACATTTAATGTTAAAATTTGCGACAGTGTCATACAATTAGCATTATGTTTCAATTCATCACTAATTTGTTCAATTAATTCTCTTGTACTTATTTAAATTTTATCATCCTCTAAATCATCTTCAACATCTGCCGTTGGTACAAGCTTTTCCTTTCGTTGTTGTTCATATTCGCTTGGCTTAAGTTGTAGAAATGATAATTCCAAATGGCTATCTATCTGTAACCATAAATAATAATGTTTTGCGTTTGCTTTCTTCAGAATTTTCAAATGCTTCTTCTTCTCCAAAAAAATTCTTTTGATGAAAACACCTATATTTGCAATTACTACATTTTCTACTAAAAATTTTTGTTATCTTTTTCTTTTTTTTGCGACCTATATTTCAAACTTGTAAGCCATATTTCAGCATAAATTTATAATTACGATAATAATAATAATATTATTGTATGCTTAAATGTACTTAAAACATTTCATTAATATTTGTTATAATTCAATCAATTAAGAAATGGTTTAACATTAATAGCACCAATAATAATAATAACAAATAAAAAACAACAACAAAAACATTAAATAAAATTAGTAGTTACATTCATTATGAAATTAAAAAAAAATTAATTCCCGGACTCTAGTGAAAATTATCTAATTGCTATGTGAAAATAGTCTTAATTAACTAACAACGACAACAGCAGCGAAATTACAAAGATCTTCGTGATATCGTGCAGCTGAGAAGACAGTTATAAGTTTACGATTCGCAAAAAATGCATAACCAAATTCGACAACCTGTCAGATAGCAATTAATTAATTAATGATTGTACAAATAGAAGTCTGATCTAAACATTTTCATCTACAGTATCTCATAATTATTTTAATCGCATTAAATAGTAGCTGAATTAATGCTTTAAAATTTCAATGAAGCAAAGAAAAATAGAGTGTAAAAAATCTCATTTGAAATAAAAATGCTATCACAATTTTGATGCAATCAAATTAGTCAAAGCATAATTGTTTTGAAAATATTCTTTATAAACTATTCGTTTATTTTAGGGAATAACAAATAATTGTTTTGAAAATATTCTTTATAAACTATTCGTTTATTTTAGGGAATAATAAATTTATCCTAAAATAACCAATAAACATTCTGAATATATGAAATTTATTAAGACAAAAAAAAAACGAAATAAACTGGTAAAAGAAAAAAGTACTTTCTAGTACTTAACGATATTTCCTATTACCTCCTCATGTCTTGTTCCTCAAATTTCAATCATTTGTGTCCAAACTTACAAGTTTTTATAGTTTCCACTAAAATTTATCTCCGTGATGCAATCCGGAAGCTTTGACGATTATTGCCGAAATACACAAATTTCAATGAACCAACAAACTTCGATTCCATATTAGTTAATAAAAATAATCATTTGAAATCATTTAAAAAACAATGATTTTATTTAAATAATGAATAAATAATGAATTCATATCAGAATTCGGAAATAATTATAATTAGATTTACGAATCATGGCGATACTATCCCTATAGAAGTATATAAGAGTTGAATGGAACAATTCTGATCGTCAATAGTATTGAATGAAATTATTGAATTGATAGTTAGTTCAAGAAAGAAAGAAAAAATCAGTGCAAATCATCCGAAGCAAAGAGTATACAAAAACGTATTTCATTGAACGACTAAAATATTTGTTACATGTTAACTTACGAAATCATCTAATTATTAAAACATATGAACACTTTCTTCAGCTAATCTTTCATTAATTGAATTTATTAAAATTTTTTTTTAAATCGTTTCATGCCTTATCATTTCACCTTTTCACTTTATCATTTTGCTATAGATATGGAAGCAAATGAACCTTGTATATTTGCTGGATGAAGATACATGGACACTTGGATAGGAATGTGCTTTGAGCTTTGAGTTCAGTGCGGAAAATATACGCCTCTTTGTGGATGATGCAAAGTTTGCTGGGATTGATGAAATTGCAGTTTATTCTGTCGATAGCTTTTTTTTTTCTATGGCAATTGCAAGATTTTTTCTCTTCTCTTTAGTAAAGTTCGTGATAATTTCTTTCAAATTCTTAAGATTCATTGGAAGGTATTTTTAAATTAACTTCAATGTAGTTGAAGGTAAATTTAAAAATAAAACTAAAACTAGTTATTTGTAAGATTGTGTGAAATATTTTGATATTACGAGACTCTTCATAAATATGCTGTAGAGTGTAACGTGCACTTCTGCTATGAAAATGAATGATATATAATAAGGCAAACAATTCTCATAAGTTCCAAAAATAAGCGTAAAACTTTTTTTTGACTATTAAATTAATAGTTCTACAATAATGCCAAACATCAAAATATGAACTGATTGGTTTAAAGTTTAAATTAATAATTTGTAAAAATTTTGTAAAAAACAACATGCATTTGTAAAAACAGTATGCATTTACTGCAAATGTTCGTATGTTATTCTGATTTAGCAAAGAAAATAGAAGTAATTTTTTTTAATATCAAATAATATTGATTAAATAATGTTTATGAGCCCAATACATTACTTATATCGCGTACTAAATAATCCTGAGGTGGGTGCCTGCTAGTACAACAGTTCAGTGGTGATATATTTCTTTAATCGGAAGTTCGTTTATTATTGAATTATTTCTTTTTCCCAGTCTAGCGAATAACATAAATTTGTTTTAGTTAGCGCTGCTTCGTAAACGAATTTGAATCAAATAGTATTTCATTTAATGATATATTTCATTTAAAAGGAAAAAAAACAGCAAGAAAGGAGCAAGGACGATATCATTCAATGATTTTCAATCAATTAGAATGTGGAGATGTAGTGTTTCAAACATTGTTTTTGATTTTATTTGTTGTAATCGTTGAAAGATGAAAAATGAATACATTGTGATAAGCTATGAGAGATTAGGAAAAGAGACGAAAGAACGAAGAAAACGCATTAGGTACGCAATAATTAGCAGCACTAACAATCATAATAATTAATAATAACAATAATAATAATAACGATTTCTCATATGATAAAAATATCTGCTATTCATCAATGTTATTGGAACTGCATTGCTTGAAATGAGGTGAATCTGATTAAATTGGATTTTCCAAAGGATTCAGAAGAATTCATTCTCCTGGAAAAAAATGTAAAGCAAAATGAGACCAATCATTTAAAATTGTTTAAGGAAAAAAGAATTTTTTTTCAATCATCGTTACATTCATATAGTGTTTCTCATTTTTTGTCATAGTTTAAGTTATGATGAGGATTTGAGCGCATATTTAATTTAATATACTCATTTAATGCTAATTAAACACTGTGCTCAATTATATATGATAGCTAAATCATAATCATTTAATCAAATTAGAACATTATTCAAAAAAGTTTTGTTTTATTTAACATATTTTTATTGAAAGAACCACCGAAGTATTTGACATCCTTTTTCATCACTTCGTACATCTTCAAATATTTCCTTCTCTTCAGCAAATTTCTGGCTTTCTTACTGATACCTTCCAAGATATTTTCATTTCTTTTATGACTCAATATATTTCAATCATTTTAAGCTTAAAAATTATAAATTAACATTAAATATACAGAAGAAAAAAAAGAAAACAAATAATAATTATTATCAAATTTCAAATTTCAATTCAATTAATCACATCAACTTTTTCATTTGTTTGTTTATAATACTAAATATTTACCAATTATTGTATACATAAAATACCACTAATTATTTTAAAAAAATTTGGTATTACCAATTATTTATAGTTTAATCTGGAAAAAAAAAATTCAGAATGAATAAATTAAACATTATAATTAGTATTACTCAGTGACATTGTTGAGACATCCCACGGAACTTACTCGCGAGAAATTTATCCCCCAAACCTGATAATATCAAACAATGATAGAATTGTTACGATGCAAAAAGGGAGGAAGCGAGCGGTTCCTCCCTTTTTGCATCGATCTATTCTAAACAGCCAAACTAAAAAATTGGATTTCCCTCGCAATCATCCCTATTTAGCATCCAATAGCTTATTAAATTAATTTTCAGTAAAATTAAAATTTTTGATGTTTTAAAACAGCCGATACTAGACTAAATCTAACGCATGAAGTAATCATGCTAATTGCATTAAAATATTAAAAAGAGCCTAACCTAAACTTGGCACTATTTCATATGAATTTATGAGATGGTCCCTATAAGAATTGTTATGTGAGGCGGAGTCAACCAAACCGACATTCCCTTGTAATCATCCGCGCTAAAATACTCAATTAATGCGGCCTAAATTTAACTATCACAGATGTGAAATTTTTATTTTTACATTATATATGCAAAATCTATACGTAAGTATTTGAAAATACGAACAAATTTGATTAATTTCTCGTTGATAATAATAGGTAATTAATTCGTTCATTCAGGCGCTATTTCATATGTCTATTTATTATACTATCCCTATAATTGTTGCATAACTGTCTGTAGGCAAACGTGCATGCATACATACATGAATACATAGTTATCTTGCTTGCATTTGTCCTTTTCGCAAACTGCTTGAGAGGTCGAGTCATGTAGTTCAGGCTAGGAATACAGTTATTGTTGTCTGTCTCTCTGTTCGTGCGTCTGTTGTATTCGCATTATGTTAATCGCTTATTATGTATACGTGTATGTATGTATGTATGTATATTACTTGATTGTTGTAGGAGATTCATTTTTGTGATAGTTTAGCATCTTCCTCGCTTGCTTCTGCATTTGCTGTAGAGCATACGTTTTACTTCAGTGATTGCTAAATTGTTGTACTTCGCCATAAATTTCAAGAGGCTGAAGAGGCGGTATAAATAGAGAGAATTATTTAAATGAAAATATTTTCTAATTTAAAATTTTTTTCTATTTTTTCTATTAAGAATTGTTGTTCCGTTTTTTCATTTTTGAGTTGTTTCGGACCATTAGGTACAATAGTTCCACACTGTTATCCTTAATTTTCTTTTCGTTAATTACAAAATGCTTGTCTTTATTCGATTCTAAGTCTCCACTATTTGCACCTCGCGACGTGAGCCGCTTTTCTCTCGATGTACTAAAATCATTTAGCTAAAAATGAAACTCCAGCTATGAATTAAATTCATTTATTACATCATCGAAATTATAGATACTAAATTTTGTATTTCATTATTTCCAGAAATGTCATTGTCATTTATATGCATATAGTATAGTAGTTAAGTATTAATTCCTATTATCAATTATATCATTTCTTTTTACACATGTGATTGGTTATCCTTAGATTATTTCTTTGAAATCCACCGTTTTAAGTTAAAAAATTTGTCCAGTTTATTATTTTTTGTTTACATTTTTATTTTGATCTTATGTAGTTAATATTCGAAACTTCATATTTTCAACAGATGATGCATTAAATTTCTCCTCTCCATTCTCCATTTTCTTTTTTTCATCTCTCATACAATCAAATGAGATTCGTTGCATCTCGTGTAACATTTACTGATATTAATTGATTGTATTATGTAATAAAACTTCTGCTCAAAGTGATTAGAAATATATGTTTAAAATTCGTGAAAATAAAAAATTTTATATCCTTTTCAATAGCTGAAGATAATGTAATGAAGTCATTATTTTATTATTTTTACGTTCTATGTCTCATATGTTTTATATTAAATTTGTCATAGTTTGAAAATATGTTAGTTATATTTGTAGGAAAAGATGAATTCTCTATTTCAGGTGAGGAGCTTATTCTTTTCTCCTTCAAAGAAAGTTTCACGGATCGGTGGACAGTCTTATCGTTTTTAAGCATATTTCGCTTGACGCTCATTTCTTGAGTCACTTAAATTCCGTATTTATTATTCAGCCGTATTGTGCGGACAGTGGTTTATTGCTGCTATTCTGTTTACTGCTAGCTGCTAGAGGTATTCAAGTTACACACACACACCTATCGAAATGGCTGAAAATAAGGATGAACTTGTTCAACGCGCTAAACTCGCCGAGCAGGTTGGTTTTTATAGTAGTGATTTCTGGCCTAAAGTGTTTTATTTGCTCCATCTATGAGATCCATTTGCTGATGAAAATGGGAAAAACAGAAAAAGCAGATCGGTGGTTAAATCAGTGCGATGGTTTCTAGAATTTTGCACTAGTGAAGGAATTAAAAGCGTTAAGAAGCAGTTTATGACATCTATGGTTTTTTTTATATATAATATTATTTGTTTTTGAGGCTGAACGATACGACGACATGGCTCAGTCAATGAAGCGAGTCACCGAATTGGGTACAGAACTTACTAATGAGGAGCGTAATTTGCTCTCCGTCGCCTACAAAGTTAGCATATTTTGTCACTTTGTTTGTATTTCCTTCAAACATTTATACAAGTGCGATGTTTTAGTATTATATTAAGTTTGGTATTAGGATGGATTTTTTTAAACTGTACTGAAGTGTTTTGGTCATTCCGTTGCGGCAAAAGAAGAAGCCGTGGGGTTAAAGAAAAATGGGAGATGGGATTCAAAATGAAGAAATAATTTGGGAAGGTAAAGAGAGGAGGAAGGAGCAGAGTAAGAAGGGAAAGAGGACAGAAGCAGATAACCGTATTAGGTAATGGAGAACCTCCTTAACAATTTGGGGATAGTTGAGTGAATTAAGTGGCTTATCAGTCATTATAGTAGTTGTTCAGCTAAATTCGTGTAGCATTTCTCTAATCCTTTTTCGTTTCCTTCTGGGCCTCAGAGAACTGTGTTCGTTGCTTGTTGCTTGTGATTGCTGTGCGTTGCGCTGTATACTAATGGTAGGGATTGTCATTTGATTCCTCTGCAGGGGGGAAGTAAGAGATTGCTATCCAGAGATATGATGCAATTAGGAAGTTTCAGACAAATTTTCTGATTTGATTGTAAATAGCAGTCGTAACC